ACGGAGACACTTTTTTGAGCACAATCCAGTGGCGGACTCAGTTTTTTTCTATATCATTCCAATTTCGAGATACCGACCAAATTCCGATATTTTCAAATGAAACACCCTAAATATTAATAGCTCATTGGATAGCTCTGTTTTTGCTGATTTCAATGATATAAAGTTCGATAGGTTTATCTCTAACAGTTTTCGAGAAAAAAAATTATATCTGTTTTTGTCGTAAGGACCAATGTGTTAGAAAAGGATTTTATATGTGTAAGGAAAAAGAGGAAGGTCTCTTTCTAACACATTGTTTCTTATGACTGAAACTTATAATTTTTTTTTCTCGAAAACTGTTAGAGATAAACCTATCGAAGTTTATATCATTGAAATCAGTAAAAACAGAGCTATCCAATGAGCTATTATTATATAGGGTGTTTCATTTGAAAATATCGGAGTTTGGTCGATATTTCGAAATCGGAACAATATAGAAAAAAACTGAGTCCGCCACTGGATTGTGCTCAAAAAAGTGTCTCCATAATGTTTTTACAGAAATAAAAAAAATTGACAAATAAAAAACTTATAGCCATTTTTCATAATAGGGGAAAATCGAAAATCGCCCTGTATTAATGGTACCATTGAAGATATCGCGATGCGTTTTTTGACATTCGACGTTTCTCGAAAATCAATCCCATGACATCTAAGTCAATTTTCGTCTATCTGGTCTGGAAGTGTGTTTTTCCTGTTAAAACACTCCAAATTGCAGCACCCTGTACAATAACAATGGTACTGTAAAGTCGGGTGACTTGAGACGATTTTGACTTTCAGCAAGCGATATTTTCGAAACAATTTAATTTAGCGATGACTTAAACACGTCAAAAGTTTATTCTTAACCCGTAGAACCGGTTTTATAAGTTGAGTTTTATGTGAATAACGAGTTACCCAGGGTTTTTTTTTTTTTTTTTACTGTCTCATGTCAGACGCCTGGTTGGGTTACTTGAGACAACCATATATTTCAAGCGTTTGCTGGTGTTTCGAACCAAAAGGAGCATACTTGAGACAAAAGAACCGTTTTTTAAAAGGTGGCTATTGACTCCTAGCGCTAGCAGGTTTGATATTGTCATACCAACGAGTACTTGAAATCTGACAATATCTCTTCAAAAAAAGCCGGACCCTATTTTTTTCAGGTAAGTTATGTTTCTTGAATTCTTGATCACCCCGTCCGTCTTTACGAATTTACTAAACGTTTTTGCATTGGCAGGACATGTGTTGAGAAAATGCAGGACAGTAATGAAAAAATCAGGACTTTTTTATTTTCCTAAAATAATATTTATTTGCAATCATATATGTAATCTTGTCATTACTGACTTTTTAAAAATTTGGAAGTGACACTTTACCTGTGTCACTTCCCTCTTCGATTTCCCTCACCGATTTCCCTATTCGATTTCCCTCACCGATTTCCCTCACTCTAATTTATTTACCTTTGCTGGCAACAATGAGAACATGTCAGGTAAAAACGTCAAAGCAGTGAATGACACATTTTGGCATGTTTGTTTTATTTTTTTAATATTAAAAAAATTGATTGAATAATCATAATTGATGGTGTGCTTGCAAATAAAATAGTATACAAACCTCGGAGGAAAGTTTTCATTTCTGTCTCGAGATTAATAGTCATTCTCGACGCTTCGCGTCTCGATTGACTATATAAATCTCTCGACAGTAATGAAACACGTCCCTACTCGGTATGTAATATACTATTATTTTTAACCATATATGAAATGTTGTCATTACTGACAAATTTGAAAATGTCACATTTCTGTCTATTCATTTTCCTGCTCCATTACCTGTCCCAGGACGGGAAATGAGGACGGGAAATTTTTTACGTCCTCATTTCCTGTCCTCATTTTCCGACCTTATTTGGTTCTCACGATTTTTTTTTTCAAGAAATTATGGTTAAATATAAAATAGTATACAAACCTCGACGGGAAACTTCATTGCTGTCTCGAGGTAACCTCTCGACCAGCAATGAAGTATTTCCCGTCTCGGATTGTAATATACTATTATAATACCCAAAAATATGTTAAACCAGATGTCAAATTTTTGACATAACGCTTCCTAGACAAATAACTACCTAATTAATGATTGTCATTGTCATTAATTATTGTCATTTCAAACCATGAATTCATAGGTCTTGACATTTTTTCAGGTTTCAATATAATTTTTTTTTCAATTTTTCAATTTCAAAAATGTCCCAATGAAACCTATTAAGATTTTTGAGATTTTTTTTTTTAATTTTTTTTTTTTTTTTTTTTTTTTTTCGTATTATATAAAGCAAAATGAGCTCTAACCAATCAATGAAAAAAAAGATGGCGTTCCCATTTAAAAAAAAGATCAATAACGTCATATCTTGAAGAGGAATAATTTTTTTTCCTATATCTCTGCGTAACTTTTCCCTACACATCTTCTTATACCTATTTCCAAAATTTCATCAAATTCCATCGAGCCGTTTTCTCAGAAAAATGCCAACACACACACACACATACATACACACAGACGGAAATGTGCCACCTTGCCAAAAAGGCTTAAAATGATCCAAAACGTCAAGATTTAATGAAATTTTGACATGTTCAAAATCAGGCTATCACCATAGCTTCCTATATCTAGGAAGCTAATAATACCTGAAAAGGTTCAAATTAAATATACGATCTCGGTAGGTACTTACTTACTTAGTTTCACATGTTTTTCCAATATGTATTTTAAGCACAAACCTTATGGGAAATGGCTTTTTGTCAATTACTCAAAAACTCTACAGGGTGCTGCAATTTGGAGTGTTTTAACAGGAAAAACACACTTCCCTACCAGATAGAGGAAAATTGACTTATATGTCATGGGATCGATTTTCGAGAAACGTCGATTGTCAAAAACCGTATCGCGATATCTTCAATGGTACCATTAATACAGGGCGATTTTCGATTTTCCCCTATTATGAAAAATGGCTATAAGTTTTTTATTTGTCAATTTTTTTTATTTCTGTAAAAACATTATGAAGACACTTTTTTGAGCACAATCCAGTGGCGGACTCGGTTTTTTTCTATATCGCTTCAATTCCGAGATATCGACCAAATTCCGATATTTTCAAATGAAGCACCCTAATTGGAATTGGATCACCCTGTACGGGTGCGCCAATTTGGACACTTCCTTATGGAAACACCCTTTATTCTTAGAGATAGAAAAAAATGAACCCCTCACTCTGAGGCTCAAATTTCATGAAATTTTGATTGGTGCAAACCGCTTTTTGATATCTTCGACCGTTTAGCCGCTAGAGGGCGATTCTCGATTTTGAGCAATATTGTGAACCCTTCATAACTTTTTTGCTTATGAAAATAATTGATTTTCGTGAAAACTTAAAAATAGTGTAACAGTCATAAGTTAGCTACAAAAATAAAAAACAACCAATAAACGTAACGTAAATTCAGTTTCAAACTTCATCTAAAAAAAAGAAAATCACTTTTTAGAAAAGGTAAAATGATTGTCATCGTCACGCCATGCCGCATATACGTACGCCGCGTTTCCATTGGTGAATCCGAAATAAAAGTGATTTTTTTTTTATATTCTAATAAGAGTAAGGATTTTATAAAATGCAGGACATTTGGTGTCCTGCGGACAACTCCGGCAGGACGCAGGACGCAAGTCCCTGAATCCAGGACATCTTGCGAAATCCAGGACGTCTGGCAACCCTAGTTGTTTCCCGAAATTAGAAAGCCCCAACGGCAAGCAACTTCTAAGTTTTCCACTTAGTCTCTGCTCCTCTTCCACTGTAAAGACTATTTGACCGTCGGGATTTTTCGTTTTAAGGTTATTCACTTTTTGCTGAATGGTGCACCTGGAAATGCCATATTTTTTGATAATATTCGATAGGATTTACTCGTTCTTCAATCGCTCGTTTCTACATTTCGCTATCATAATCAGCATAGGTCCTCTGCAGCCAAGTCTCAAGTCACCCGAAACAACCGCCATTTTACCTTTTCATATAGGTTTTTTTTTTCTTCCTTAAAAGGGAAAGTAGGTAACTTACTATATTCCAAAAGAGGCGCAAAGCATCAATCTATTTCTGAGTAAAGTTTCAATCGGCAGTCCTAGACAGTATGAAAAGTTATTCAGGAGAAGAGGAGTAATGCAGTTACAACAAAAATAATTCCAAAGTCTAGTTCTAAAATGAGTGGGAAAAAAGGGGAATACAGCAAACATGCTAAATTACAGGCCATTGCCAAATATATCTGAACAGGAGATTGGCAAGATATAAAAGAGAAGATGAGGCTGTCCAATGCAAACATATATGCTTGTAACCTTCAAACCAGCTCCTTTGGAAATTACCCATTAGCTAGCAATCCTGGTTTGAAAGGAATAAGCATTTAAAACGGGTCAGTGTTTGCTGGGACATCCTGTATAATAATCGGAGGATTGTACGTAAAATACAGGTAGACCATAAAGGTGGACTCTTGCCAGTTGCATTCGGATCGGGTGTGTCAGAGTAATGAAACTGTCAAAGTTGAAGTGAGATCGTTGATTGCATAAGTATACCTAATCTTCGCTACCAGGTACCCAGAGTGTAGAGCTACAGTTTGTGATGTAGTTAGTGAAGGAGTGCATAAAGCAAGAGTAGTAAGCAACTGAATTTGACAAAAAAATCCATGATCCGGCGTCCAGAAAACTGTCAAACATTTTTTTTTTTTTAAAGACTTGCATTTTGCTACTGGAGCAAAAATCTTTGTAAGTATATGCATATGGTATGGTTAGGAGATATTTTTTTCAAATCCCATTCTTTCAGTAACAGTAGGTAGGTACCTAACAGGCGTCATGCATTTTGATTTGCGAAATTGTCGATTAACAGCAATGAATTTGTCAATTTCAATGAAGGAAGAGACGGTACTTATAAGATGTCTTTTTCTGCTGTGAAAATACGACGCGCGATAAAACGGAGTCGACCCGCGATCGCAAAATGTCAAGCGATAAATTAAACTCCAGTTTATCAAGAGAGTGATTTAGTTTAACCTAAATAAATTAATAATGGGATACTTGTGTAACACGATGGTAAGACAGTGAGTTGTGATTAGGTTTGTTGGTGACTTGCTAAGCTTGATTTTAGTTAAACGAAGTGTTGTAGTAATAGTGCCAGTTTCATTGGGATTTTTGGGTTTTTGTCTTGAATAGAGGTAAATTAATTTTGTCTCGCTAATCTGCGTGCTACGTGCATATCTATACGTAAACAATACACTAGAAACAAATATTTTCGCTACGATTTTACTAATTCTTAGCGTCGTCTAACTACATACATCTAAGGAACAAAATATTAACAGGAATCAATAATTAAAGGAACCAGTATCCAGGATCCCGAAATTTCTAATCTGTCCTCCTATAAGATTCTCAAGATTTTTTCAAGTATAATGTGGCAACCTGGCCACGAGACGTTCAATACAAAATAAACGGAAACGGATTGCCACGAGGTATTTTATTTAAAGCTAACCCAGGTTACGTTACGTGCCGTATATATTGCATCATTTAAATAAGCCGCAAGCAGCAGGACTTTTGTGTGCGAGTCCATAGAAGGTAAGTACCTACAGAGTGATATTTTATTTTAATATTTGGTGATAATGTTATGTTCCTATTCAGTATTTAGCTATACCAGTGGCTATACCTAGTTATTGAGTTTTTAAAATAAGCGGCGAAGCGCCTATTTTAAATTTAAATAAAATAGGTACATGCCTATATTCTAATTTCAATAATATCCTACTTAAATTAAGTAAATAAAATTGATAATTGGAAATTGAATTGGTATTATTATTATTTACTTGTCTTATTATAATAATAGTGGCAAAAATGTTTTCAAGCAAAATTATTTAAGAAACTACTACTGTACTGTACGATAGTAATAAATTTGATTCTTTTTATAGAAAATCCTATAAAATGTGTGGAATTTGGGCAATTTTTGGAACCGAAACTAATTTACACACCGTATGCGCTCATGGATTTAACAAAATTGAACATAGGGGTCCTGATGCCTGGAGAGTAGAATATGACAAACAATTAAAAGTAAGTTTCTTTTATATTAATTTATTCAAGATAAACCTCAGAGTCAGGAATAAACTAGTAAAAGATACACATTGATTTCAGATGACACAAAAGTTTTTGGAATTTCAAAAAAATATATATTTGCTTGTGAAAGTTGTATCTATTAGGTACCTAGCTCATAGTAAGGGTAATGGGTATCAATTTGTGCCTATATGGAAATGGCATTGCAACCTGTTCTAATCAATAATTGAAAAAGACCAATAATCGCAATCAACCAAAAATGTAGATGTTAATTACCACATAACTAACATATGTATTTGGATGATACCATAAAAATCGTTTCATTATCTAATACTCCTAATCAGGCTTGTGCTAGCTTGCAACAATAATTTAAATTTAGTGATAATTTTTTTTGTAAACGATGCCAAATTTTATCATTTTACAGAACTGCTGCGTTGGCTTTCACAGACTGACCATTGTCGATTGCACTTATGGAATGCAACCAATGAAACTACATAAATTCCCTCACAGAATGTTGCTTTGTAATGGAGAACTTTACAACTGCAAAGAGGTAGTAATAATTAATACCTGACTGATTAAACATTATGTAAAAATGGAAATTTTTAGCTTCAAAAAGAGCACGAGTTCAACTATGAAACCTTTAGTGACGTTGAATGCATTTTCCACCTTTACGAGAAATTCGGAATTGAAAAATGCGTCAAAAGTCTGGATGGTGTATTTGCTTTTTGTATTGTTGATATTCCCAAGAAAAAGGTATTTCTAGGGAGAGATCCTTATGGAGTGAGACCTCTATTCAGAATTTTTAGTGAAAATGGTATATTGGGAGTTTGTTCTGAGGCCAAAGGTAATAAAATTGCTCAAATATTATTCAATACCTATTGATTTTAATTCTATATTCTCTTTCATAGGATTGACAGCTATAGCAGATGATCTCAACGGCCACAAGAAAACACTGGAGCCCTTTCCACCAGGTACTTTCGAAGAATATGACCTCACAGATAAAGGTACTGCTAAACTAGTCAGAAGTGAGAGATATTTTACCCCGGGAATGAGACCTTTATTTAAACCATTTGTACCATGGGAAGAATTAGCTTCAAAAAAACACGAAGAAAACATTAGAAAACTTTTAACTATGGCTGTGAAGAAAAGGCTTATGGCGGACAGAAGGATTGGTTGTCTGTTGTCTGGAGGGTTGGATTCTTCATTGGTGGCAGCTTTACTGGTCCAGGAAGCTAAGAAAATTAATTTACCTTATAAAATACAGGTAGAGACCAATCCTTACATATTTGGCTGAAAAAAAATTATATTTATCGCTGGTAAATGTTAATCGTTAATTGAATCAATAAAGGACGCTGTATATCATCTGATCAAGTCAGAATCTAGTCCAGACTCTGTTCAGTTTTCATGTTGGTTGAACGCTCATCGAAAATCGCAACTAATTTGAACATAGAGGAAGAAGAGAAGCAAAAATTGTCGAATAAAAAACTTCGTGAATTTTTGATTTTTTTGTCTTATCTGGACATTGTGTTTAAGTTCCCTTTTGTGCATGGACGCCAGATACGCCTGGCAAGAGTTAGCATAGAACGTCAAATATTATTTGAAATAACTGTGTCTTGACTCGTCCCCACCTTCTTAGTTCGAATATCGGCGACTGAAATGATTATGACAGTTAAAAACCGTAACTTGCTTATGAAATACTGGACCGCGACCCTGTCCCACTCTTTCCATTACACTTTTTTTAAATTGATTAGTATTTTCACAATCTATCGTTTCCTTGCTCAATTATCTCTACACAAAAACGACTCTGGTAGGAAGTTCCTGCGAATGTTTGTTACCTACATCCCTCAATGCTAAACCCATGAGGCCGCCGATCTTATAATTATTGTGTCTTGATGATGTCTTCATGGGCTGTACGTTGTTGGAGAGTAAGTTAACGATTTTTATGCGCTCTTCATAGGCATAAATCCGTGATACAAAATGTGCCAACAGACAACAATTTTCAATTGGATCTTGGATCCTGACCCTGACTCTTCTGTGACTTAATTGTCCTTGTGGTGAGAATTGAACTTTAGATCCAAAACATCTGTCGAAATTCAGATTCTTGCTGAATTGTAAATATTGAATGAAATCAAAATCGTTTTTCATCTAGCAAATTTGACTTCTAGGAAACTCAGTTATTGCAAAACAGTAAATAATATATAGCAAACTGATATAATAATGCAATCGACTTTAGCCGACTTCAATTACTAACCTAAATATGTTTTAGTCGTTCGCAATTGGCATGGAAGGTAGTCCAGATCTCGAAAAAGCCCGTCAAGTGTCAGAATTTATCGGCACCGAGCACCATGAAGTTGTTTTCACAGAAAAAGATGTTGCAGTCGTTCTAGATGATGTTATTTATACCCTGGAAACGCCAGATATTACCACTATCAGGGCTTCTATAGGCATGTATCTGCTTTCAAAATATATTTTGGATAACACCAATACTACTGTAGTCCTAAGTGGAGAGGGAGCTGATGAAGTTGCTCAAGGGTAAGTTGTTTTTTCCATTTTTAATACATAGTTATTGTTCATGCATCTTAGTTAGAACTGCTTGAAAATGAGGGAAACCTACAATCCAATTAGTAGCGAAATGAAAACAGTTTTTATCAACAATGCTTCCTCTTCTATCCGTATTCTTTGAATTTAGGATTAGATGTTTGCTTGCTTAAGCAACTTTTTTTTTCTCCATCAGGTACATTTACTTTCGTGACGCACCATCCCCAAAACACGCTCACGAAGACAGTTTGAGATTACTTAAAGAAATTTATTTATTTGATGGTTTGAGAGCTGACCGCACAATGGCTTCACAAAGTTTAGAACTTCGAGTACCATTTCTGGACCTCCAATTCTCTCATTATTACCTCAACATAGAGCCAGAACTGAAACAACCCAGAGATGGCGTTGAAAAGTTCTTATTGAGATCTGCTTTTGATAAAACTGAACTTTTGCCTCATGATATTCTTTGGAGACATAAAGAAGCTTTTAGGTAAGAACACAATCAGGTATTTAATCATAATTATATTATGTCTATTTTCTAGTGATGGTGTAGCTTCAAAAAAAAAATCTCTATTCGTTATCCTACAAGAAATTACTGAAAAACGCATTCCAGAAGCTTTTGATAAATCAATAGTGGCTAAAAAATATCCTCATTGCACCCCGACGTCAAAAGAGGCGCTCTATTATAGAGAAATTTTCGAAAAAAGCTATCCCAATTTGGCAGAAAAGTTTTTGCCTTATTATTGGATGCCAAGGTGGATTGAAGGAATCACAGATCCATCCGCAAGGTTTATCAAGCATTACGCTGCTGATCCAGAACTTAAATGAATCAAAAGTCAATACTAAATTGTAAACCTTTTGGTATAGGTACCTATATTTTTTGTATTGAAATTTTCTCAAAATATTTTCTGTTTTGAATATTTGTTTTTTTAATATACCTATACGTGTTTTGATTAAATTTTATACTTGCTTTACAAAACTTCGATACAAAGCCTCTACACCTGCAAGAGCATCCAAAGACTATGGAAAACACAAATGGATAATAAATAATGATGAAAGTCACTGAAAAAAATAAAATAAAACAGATATACCTACATATTCGGATTAAATATTTACGCCTGTCGTAAAAAGAAATTTCATCAGACCAGACTGATGAGCAGAGCTGTTTAAGATCATTTAAAAAAAGATTTGAATCAAAGATCATGGATACAGTTCATTCATTTGGACAAACGATTTAAATCAAAAATCTCTATATTTGAATCTTTTGCACAATTTAAAGCATGTAGAGTGATTTAAATCGTTTCGTAATTTTCCAACAAGAAAAACTAAGCAGGTCTTAGGTCATTCATAATTTTAAAAAATAGATTAGAAAATGTAAAAAAGTGATGTCAACAAATCTGAAAAAAAAAGCAGCATTGAAAACCATACGATAATTGAAGCTATTAGTGCATGAAGGTTTTAACTCAATTTTTAGCTGAAATCCCGAAAAATGGTATGTATGAAGGTGTTAATTCATTCTTTGCGTTAGTAAAGACTTTGGATCATAGATGTTGCCAGGTGCCTTGAAAACTGAAGTTTAAATCGCGTTAACTCAAGTTTTGTCGAACTTATTTGGAGCAAGAAGGTGTTAACTCTTTATAATTGTGCAAGAAGGGGTTAACTACTGATTCAAAAATGAAAAGAAAAAAAAAACATAAAAAATGATAAAAGCTGACTCGTAATATTAATTTCACATTTCTTGTCTGTGTTTTGACGCATCTTGATTTTGATTTTAGTTTAAACAGAAAAAGCTCCCAACAATTTTATTTCAACCCTAAATATTTCAAAATTGTTAAAAAGTGACTTAATACCTTCATGCACTAATAGCTTCAATTAAGGTATGATCCTTTTTAGGCAAACAAATAACGTTTGATAAAATTACGTTTGAAATTTATATTGAGTTCTCCTTAAAATTTTCTTAGTTATTTTTCTTGCATAAAAATCGATTCAACATTTGAGTTAGGTTTTTTATATCTGTCCATTTCAAACTGATTGTTCCATAAAGTGTTTTCCACGTTGCAGAAATCCATGATAAGCATTACGAAAGTTTATCATATTGCCATTGTATACATTTAATATTATGTACTATAATGATATATTATATCACAAGAGCTTTAAATTTAATCGATTAAACTCAGGGCCGGATTTAGGCACAGGCAACCGAGGCAACCGCCCAGGGCGCCATAATTAGGCGCGCCAAATTGCAAACAAATTTATTTCAAGTGAACAAGGAAATAAAAAAAAATATATTATGCCATAAGGATAATAGGAAGATAAAAGATCCAACAACATTGTCCGGTAATAGCTAATTTACATATCACCACTGTTACTTGTCACCATGTCACCGCTCATCAAGAAACTTTCGATCCTCTTCGTCTCAAAGCAGATTAGATTAAATGGACTTTCGCTCTAAGAATTGAAAATGTTATAACCTTCGACCATTGAATACACTTGATGATTATAATATTCGATGGTGTAGATTATAGGTCTGTTATCACAGAAATCACAAACCAGTTAGAGCGTTTTTGATTGATGCAAATCTCCAACAGGCCACAACCAGTTTTATGACTATTTTAAACCAATGAAATTTCCTCTGACTGGTTTGTGATTACTGTGAGCAGTGCCGGCCCGAGCCTATTTTTAGGATGGAGCGAGATCCGACTTTGGGGCCCCTAATTCAAATGAGAATCGTTCTCGCATGAATTTTGCCCAAAACCTATATATCCCTATCTATCTTATCAATTGAAATTTGAAAACATCCATGTTCATTGGTACCGTTGGTATCTACTCTTTTCCTTTTGAGACTGGATTCAAAGTAGAATGACAAGCAAGTTGTGTGAAAAATGTATTTATTTATTATATTTAATATTTATTTTTTAAAGAGATCAGTAATCACCATTTTAACAATAAGGTAGGAAGCTCTCTTCTTTACCAACATTTGTTCCACATTCGTTGATGAGATCAATCAATAATCAACTTTGGTGGTAATTATTGATTAACACTTATAAACATAAAAATCGAACAAACAAAACGCAAAATTTTAGGTAAATCGCTGTTTGCGTAGTTTTGTATTTGCAAATTTGTATGATCTCCTCATATGACAATGTCTGAGCTATATCATATCCAAGGACAGCAGGGCCAGATCAGAAAGGTTGTCTTCTGCTAGAGTTGACCCCTAAGGTACGTTTCAGGTTACGTTCGGTATTTTACTCAAAGAGCAGAGCGTGCTGAAGCGCAGCAGAAGTCACGTGACCAGCGAGCAGACAGAGCAGTTAAACCTCGAGTTAAACGCTGTATCAGAGCCAATGATCAGAACCCTCGAAATTTTAATAAACGAACGCGAATGAGCCTACACCGAGCAAACTTTTTAAATAAATGAACAGTAAATACAAGCTAGGAGAACTCAGATCATAATACCAAACGCACGGTTCATTAACCTAAGCTTGCTAAAACTCCGTTCATCTTCGCCGCCCACAGGAATGGTTACAACAAAAATAAGTGCTGTCCAGATATTCAGGAACTTATCTTGCCAATTATTTAATGCTAAGGTCTGAAGGACTGCCAGATAAAAAGGCAATCCGCAATCCCTTTGATCGGTCAGACAGTCACCAGAAAATTTATCTGGAAATGAACTAAACGTTCTATGGGATTCACATACTAACCACACGCTTGCTCGCACGCAGAATAGCAGGATATCGGAAAGCGAAGACAGGATTCAGAGCAGAAATATATTTTTCTCTTTTTTTATCATCAACGATTCGGAGGCGCCCCCCGAGGTCTGGCGCCTGGAGCGCTCGCTCAGTTCGCCTTATGGTAGGGCCGGCCCTGTCTGTGAGAACAAACCTATCGATGAATTCATCTCTGACTTTGCAAGACGTAAAGCCAGACGGGTTCATCTTTAGTGTTGATAATCTAATTAATTTCGAGAAATTATTTTTGTGTTTAGTTAATACATATTATATCTACAGTATAGATCTGTTCTCACAGATATCACGTACCTATTAGAACGAATTTCATTGGTTGAAAACTATCAGAAAACTGGTTTCTGGCGATCAAACAAAAACACTCCGACTGGTTTGTGATTTCTGTGAGAATACTAAGAATAGATCTCATGTAATAAGTAAATATATGATAGGAGGATGGGGAGCCACATTGAGACAGTTTTTACTTTTTTGGGGATAAAATTGGTAATTTAAATTTTTTCGCTACAGTTACGTGAGCCTCATAATCTTTCATCTAATTGCAGACATTTTTTGAATAAATTATTAACACAATATTATTTATTTTATTTTATGGAGGAATTTTAAAAAATCTGATTTTGTCTCAAGGTAGCCCATGAAGTGGGCCACGTTGAGACATGAAATTAATTAAACAGTGTATGCACGTGATCAAAATTAATGACATAAGCACGTCGCAATGTTGCCGCTATTAAATTTCGTTTTACTTTGACATACCACGTCTAGTAAAATGTGTTATCACTAAGGTCGAATTCTCATGAGCGTAAGTTGACATTTCTGACGTAATCACGTGATAATATGGTGTAATTTGATTGGTAAAATATCCAACATGTCAAATATGTTTCCAATAAAACCCAACCATTTTATCACGTGATTACGCCAGAAATGTCAACTTACGCTCATGAGAATTCGCCCTAAAGCTACATCCTCAATCAATCAGTGGCATTATTCTTGACTTTACGTAGGTAGAAAATTTGACATTGTTAACAGTTAATGCACTGTTTAATTGTCAACACAGTCAAATTTTCTCTCGAGAGAAAGTCAAGAATAAGGCCTCTGGTAGCGAAGTGGCAATTCGGCACGCGTGCTGGGAAATTGATTCCCATCCTCAATGCTGTCAATTTTCAGTCTGCTGTGCAGGTAGTACAGTCACGAACCGTGCATTCGGTATTTTGATCTGAGTTCTCCGAGTATAAATTTATCCTTCGTTTATTTAAAAAGTGTACTCGGTGCAGACTCTTCCACGTTCGATTATTAAAATTTCGAGCCCTCTGATACAGCGTTCAACTGCTCTGTGCGCTCGCTGGTCGCTGGTTATTTTTTACCGTACTGCGCATGACATTAGTCAGCACGCATCGAAAAAGCTTGCAGCTTGCAAGCTTGCACTTCAGGAGTCGACGTGCATGCTAGCACGGAATTGAATTGAGGATGCCAACGTTAAATAACATTATCCTAGCATGCGTGCCGAAGTGCCACTTCGCTACCAGATTGATGGAGGATGGGCCTTAAAGCAAACAAACATCGATTTTTATATCTATAGATAATGTATTATAAACACAATCTAAAAAAACTACTCACTTTTCGTCGTAAATTTGATTGCGAATAGAGCTAACATCAAGGTGATCTTGATTCGTAACCCGCTTCTTATGTGTACGTTTTTTCTTTGGTGAATTTAACGCTAAATTATCCCTAACTTTTTGAGAGATTTTACATTGGATTTTACTCACAGTGGCTCTACCAATATTCAGTGCAGCTGCAACACGCTGGAAAAATATTCCCAATTAAAGCCCCAGAAGATTTGTATTTGATAGTATCAATATATCTTCACCTCTCTAACGCTATTTAATGACAAAAAGGGGCATTATCTCGTTCCTGTTCAAAGAAACTAATTAGAGACGCAACGAGTTTCTGACTCTTTTGGCAACATAACCCATGAGTGCCAACCTAAATGTCATTTTATCGGCCGATTCGGTTAAATGCCAACAGTGTTGTCTTTTTTTAACTAAGGTTAAATAAAAAAGAGAATGAGCTCTCGGCTTGAAACGAATTTTAATTTCTTACAAACTGCAATTGGCAAGTCATTGATCACGTGCATACACTATTTAAATAATTTCACTATATATTCAAAAGTAAAAGTGAATCGTAACGAGGGCGGTAAGATAATTTTATTTTGAACCATAT